TGAGCTTTTAGTCTCCTTTTTTTGGTGGAAAAACAGTCTAATTATTTTAGCTTTAGTGTCATTTCTAGAGATAAAGAAAATCTTAATTTTGCCTGAATCCATTTGCTCCTATATGAAGGCCAAAAAAAATAAAAATTGTGACCATCATCTTCAGTTGATAAATAAAGCAGCCATCCACTGTAATTTTGTCCATGTGAGTATATAAGAGTTGCACAAATACTTTTTGAAAGGTTTTATGGGCATGCCAAAAAAGTACATCAATAGCCTCAAACCCCCCAAAAAACAAGGAATGAAGCCTGCCTTATCTCAAATCGAATTTGGGATTTATTTTACAAAATCGCTTAGATGAAGGGGTTTGATTTTTTTCTTGATAACAAATACAGTATCATCATCTTTTTGAATGAAACAGAATGAACAGAAAGCTTTATTTTCTTTTTTTCAGCATTCACAATAAGTTCAATCACCATTCCCACATCCAAACCCCCTCCCCACACCGCCCAAATCCATTCAAATGCATTCAATCACTTCAAAATGGGAAACAGAGAAAAAAATCCGTATATGGATACCAAAATAAAAGAAAATTCATTCCACATCTGCGCAACTGAAGTGTATGATGTGTACATCCCCGTCTTTCCTTGATATATTGAAAACAAAAAAATGTCAGCAACAAGAATTGCAGCATAAGACATGATTATAGAAATTGTAGCAGTTGCAGAACTCAATTTAAACGTAAGCATCTTTTCAATCATCTTTTTAATCGCAGAAAACTACTTTTTGTTGAACAGCAGAAAAAAGAGGAAACCAGGCGGTCGTGCGTCCAATGGTTCAAGTGACGTTTGCAGCATAAATCATTATATACCAGGGTATCCACCGTACCTTTATTCTTTTATTTCTGTATGCAGTATTTGTTTTCCTTGTTTCTCACATTTTACCCTCTAGCATTCTTTCATACATAATCCAGGGAACGTAACGGAGAAGCACACGAAGGGAACCAGAAAAATAAAATAAAATCTGCAACCCGGTTTTTTTTTTCTTCTGGTTGTGTTTCTTTTTCTTCCTGGGGGAGCATTCGGGGAAAAAACCCTGATGGCCAGGGTTCAGTCGTCTCTCGGGTTTCGTGTCTTTCAGATCTTCTGTGGTTTGGGATGAAGAATATTTCCATGGTGAAATCATTTTTTTTTCTGTCTTCGCTGATGGAAGGTATCAAAGAAAAACCTTCCCATCTTTTTCAGAATATAATAACATTATTTTCTGCTTTCTGTTTGTTTATATAGTCACCTCTTTCAAGGTTCTTCCTGGCAAAAAAAAGGTAAAATTGAATGAATGAACATATAATACAGTATTGCCAATGGAAAAATCGAGATTTTTCTTTCATGTTTGAAATATTGTGTAAGCGTTCAGGTTTGATGATGACTCATAAATATCCATATGAAATATTGATTTTTGATTGCTTCTGAGATTTGATACCGGTGGCTGGTGACTGACACAATTTCTAAAATTTTTTTTAGAATGTATGTAAAAGGGACTTTCTTAAAGTTACAGGTCAAGGTTTCAAACACCTGGAATCATGATTAATGTTGAAAATTTTCAGAAGAATAAGCTGGTAATAAAATGATTATGTGTGCAAAACAGACTGACTTCTTCAGTAAGTTTTGCAGGTAAATTTAAATGTTCCATCAATATTCATGAAAAACTTGTTTCATATTGTGAAAAAGGGAAGGTTTATCCAGAACAATATTTTCAGAAATCATTTATATATTTCTGGTGTATTTTTGTTCCTCTTGATTTTGATCTCGGCATTTTGAATTTCAGGAAACAATTGCCAAGAAATAGCCCATGAATTTCCTTTTTCCCTTCAAAATTTTGAAAACATTCCTTTGCTTCATAATTACATAATAGGATCACATTTTTACTGGCTTAAGTTTATCTCCTGCTATGATGTACAACTTTTGTTGAAATTTTAAAATTTCATCTTGAAAATATCTATTTTTAATTAAGTCTTGATTGCGATTTAAGAACTCAATAAGCCACGTAATTCAATTTTTTTTAGTGCATTGCGTTTTTTAATGTTCTTCCATTTTCCTCATATTCCGGTATCTGTGATCAATCATGCGGATGTTTTTAAAGTGGTTTAATCTTTCTGGTGCAGCTCTGCTGGTTTATTTATGAATTAATTTTCCTAATTCAATAGAAAATTTGTAAAAAAAAAAACCGTCATGAAATAAATTAATTTTTTCGAAAATTTCTCTAATTTTTTTACGAGCTCTCCACTGAAATATTTTTATCGATCAACAATTCATTTTTGGAGATTGATAGGTCAATTCAATTCCATTCCAACCTCGAGTTCATTCCGAACAACAACAAAAAGGTTTCATATTATTGAGTGAAAGAAACGTGGGAAATGGAACAATCACGACCAAAAATCTGATTTTCCACCGCGATTATTCTTATATGTAAGCTTTTTTCTTGTTTATTGCATTCCAATCGTGCCTCATTAATCATCAAGCCCTTGATGACCACCGAAATCTCGTCCCCGCATCTTAACGGCCCCCCCAGCCATCTGAACTTCATTGTTTTTCAACCCTTTGACAATAACTGAAGAGACAGCAAAAAAAAATCTTATCGCGAAAAGAACCCGTTCCAACGTGGTTCAGTCCGCTGATGTCAAAGGGTTTTTGACCCCCTTTTCAACCCCCTTCCGTATAAAAGTTGTTATGCAGAATGATGAAATTCATGGAATGGAGAAAAAGAATCGTGTCTTGTTTACATCGGTGATGACAAGGGTGAAAAATTGCGTGTTTTCGCTGCTGCTTATTGATGGAGTGCGTCAAGCAGAATAATAAATTTTATGGATTTCCTCATTGTAGAATGTAGACTGTACTTGAAAAACAAACAAAAAAACTCAAGGGCCCCTGGAATTTAGTGCATTGAGATTTCATGTGAAACCTCAATTTATACATTTCTTTAATGTACAATATTACTTTATTTTGACGCAAAAAACGTGATGAAGAACAGTCTGACATTGCAATTTTGTAAATAACTTATAACTCTGGTGCAATCACAGAAAATTAATTGTTAATTGGTATTTCTTGAGTCTGTGGAAAAGTAGTACAAGTGGGCTTTTCCAGTTGGATCTATCCAGGTAAAAAATCTCCAAAATGTAATTTCCTGTGAAATCCTGGCAAATCTTCTTGAGATCAATGTACAGTGTTTGACAAAAAAAACCACAAACCTTAAACTCTTTTTCTCTCACCTGAACAACAACAAATATTAACAGTTAGCTTTTCTGAGGTTTTTGGTTTCTTGAGCTGATGATGCATTTTAGAAGCCCTGGAATAAGCGAATTGTTTTCTTAACCCTTGGTCAGTTGAGGGTTCTTTTTCATAGTTTGGCAGAATTAGGATAATTGGGGGGGGGGGGGGGGGGGGGAAGATTTTGGGTTG